TGATTGAATTCTTTTATTTATTGAAGCAAGTGCAATATATAAATACATTATATCAATACAAAATAATAGTTATAACACTTGTCTTATGTATCAAAGGCATTGAAATTAAATTCTTTTTTTTATAGTTTCATAAATAGACAATCAGATGATCAATCTGTGATAATATTGTTGTTAATTTGTTATCCTGATGACTGCATCATCTTCAGCGAATGTTTCATCTGAATATCATTTGTGTATAGGATATACAGAAGGGTCCTAGCATACACCCTTGAGAAACTCCTAAATTAATGGTATTTCAGATAGAACTCTAGTTCTGAAGAGTCTGTTTATCGGATAACATTTCAACAGCAAATATATCTCACGTTAGCAAGGAATTTTGTCTGTTTTATAAAGGAAAAGTTACTTATTACAAATTTATCTTTTTTTACAACACCTTGTGGATGTTGTTAGCTGGTATCATTACATTTTTAAAGAGATGTTTTACATTGTTACATGAATTTTTGGATTACATTACTATTATCAAGAGTCATGTGTTTTCCCTGTGGCGATAGTGACTGCATGCACATTCATTCTTATTGATGATAACTCTTTAATTAATACTGCATCAACTTGATAGATTTTTATATAAATACAATAGTCGAATAAGTTTGCACTAAATATTATTAAACTAATTATTACACAATTGCTTTGGCTACATGTTTAAGAGACATTTTCTCAATATTTATACTTTTGTTCTTCTAATGTAATTATTTTATTATTCGAGTTGATGCAGTTTGATTAAAGGTTGAAAGAGTTGATTTGAATAAAACAAAACATTTTCGTCATTTCATTCAATATTTAAATTTAAATCCTTTTTTTATTTGATTTTGAAACGTTTTAAAGTAATGAATAATTTTTAAGTTTTTACAATTCTAGTTTGTTTCAAATAATTATTAATTTACATTTTTAAAGTTTTGTTGAATTCAAATCAATTATATTTGTTTGTGTCTCGATTAATTGTAAAGGTTTCACATTTTTCATCAAGTCATATCAACAATTTTGATTCGATTAAGATAATTTTTTGGATTCAATTAACATCATATCATCGATTAATTAAATAATTCTTTCAAATATTTTTTTTTTCTAAGTCCAAATTTTCTGATTTAATTCTTTCGAATAATTTTTTTTTTTTTTCTAAGTCCTTTCAGATATTTTTTTTTTCTAAGTCCAAATTTTCTGATTATAATTCTTTCGATTTTTTTTTTTTTTTTAAGTCCTTTCAGATCATTTTTTTTTCTAAGTCCATATTTTCTGAAACCTTTTCAATTAAGACAGACGAGTTATTTATGCATGCTGTATTATCCCAAAGCCAACATTCGAATGAATGAGGCTCACATTGAATATTTCACAACGAGAAAATTTTATTGGGGCAAAGTTAAATATTTTAACTAAGTCCCAGTAATTTTTTCTCGTTGTGAAAATTTCAACGTGGACTTGATTTCATTTGAGTGTTGGTTTTGGGAATTGGTGTGAGGGAACACTAAAAAACATAAAAAAGTTTCAACGCTGAACAGAAAAGAGAAAAATTGACCTGGGACTTAGGGGGTTTTTTTTTAGGCTCCCACCTCCCCCTTCTCCCTCCTCCTCCTCCTCCTCTTTCCCCTTTTTTTCCCTTTTTTCCGCTTTTTTCACATTTTTTTTCCTTTTTTGGTGTTTTTTTTCGCATGTTGTGGTTTTTGGGCAGATTTTTGGGTCCGGCATGCATCTTCCGCAATGTGTCTCTCTGCATGTAACCTCTCGCATCATGGACCTCTGGTTGACCATCACTTGGTGTGTTCGTTTCAGGACCCTTTGCGCTCGCCAACAGCCGGTCACCAGCACTGCTCCATTTTTTCTGCTTCAGAGTTGCTCGTCGTCGCTTTAGCCGGATTCGATCCTGCTCACCTTGTGCCTCCAGAGTTATTTCACCGAGTATGCGGTCCCTTAAACCACTCGGCTATTTGAGTTATTGATGATAAAAGTTATTTTCATTCTCATATTGTATTAATATTGAATTTTAATAAAGAATATGTATCATACACATCTCTCTTATTCATCACCCTGTCTACCCTCTCTTTCCCCAGTTCTTCCTCTACTTTAATTTTCTCTTCTCTTTATGTATCTCTCTTACAGTCAAGTGCGAATCTTGAGTTTTTGTTTTTCAGAAATATTCTAAGTGTCAAGGTCGAAATGCGACACCTGAATTTAATATTTTGAACTAATATTTGTCGATTCCGAAAAACTAGGATTCGAATTTTTCAGCCGAGTCTTTGGGATTCGATCCGAGGGACCTTTAGCCAGTCAACGTGATGTCGACGACTAAACGCTCTCGGCTATTTGCTTGTAGAATAATACAATTTTTTTGGAAACGCTTTTCTAATTCGGGAAGGACTGTTGAAGTTTGACAGCTCCAAGTATTTTGTAAAGGCCCTGTATCAGGCGCTCCACTCTAGTTATTTAAATTTAATCAACCTGCCATCTGAATTTATTTCTTTGAACTAACATTTGATCATTTTGAAAAACTTTACCAGTTATTTTTCATCCACATACATTACTTCTTCTGGAATCGATCTGAAGAACATCCGACTACCACGATGACCACTTAACGCTCTTGGCTATTTAGTCGTTTGAGATGAAACGTTTTTTATGGAATGCCTTTTGTCTATTTCGAGGATTTAAAGATTTTTGAAAATTAATATTTTGCTTCTTTTCCCTGCATTTCGAAAGGTTTTTTTGATTATCTGCAGATTCGAACTGCCGACAACACCATCGGAGCACCATTGCTATTTAACGACCTCGGCTATTCGTCCCGGCCAACAGATTTAATGGGAAAGTCTTTTGTCTACTTTGAGGTACAAAACTTTCGGCAAATTAAAATTTTTTCCTCTCGTTCTTTCGCACAGGACTCGAACTAGACACAACACCAGCGGACAATTGACAAACGTCTGCTCCTCAACGACCTCGGCCACGTATCTGTTTCACAAAACGCATTTTTGTGTTCTTATAAGGACTTCAATTTTGTCTTTAATATTTTATTAACCATTCAACCACAACTAATCGTTTATTTTCTTTCAGCTCCATACAAGTCCACTGAAGGACAATGGATCTACTATGAACAACTCATGAACAACTGGATAACTGGAACTACCACGAGGGTTGGACTCGAACTGGATCACCCTGGACTCGATGATATTAGTGAAGTCCTTCAGCCGTTTCGGCTACCGAGATGCAAAATGGCCGCCGACTATATGGGAGGACACTGAGAATGGATTTATGGCAAATGTGGGGGTGAAAAAATACTGGAAATTGAAAAGTTGCCGGAGGGGTTGCAGAATGATGGCATACGATTCTTCAGAAATGTACGGATTTCGAGCGGGGGGTTCAGGGGGGAGAATTTTGTCCGTTTTTTGCTCAGAACACCCCAAAGTGATGATTTAAAATTTCACGCGTATTTGGGTTGTTCAAACCCTAATGTTCTCTTTTATAATAATTAGAATGGAAATTACATGTACAATTAGCAATTATTGAACAAATAGTTTATAAACATAATAATAAATAGTTAAAATTGATTTTTATACAATATATAAATTAATTAAGTATGTTTGAGATTATAAAAACTGACCTAAAATTATTATTATTGTTATAATATGTATTAAATATATATTTACTCAATATTTAATATTATTTAAACTTATATTGTGTTGATTTAAATAAATATATAAATTAAAATGCATATTTTTTTTTATTTATATTTTGTATATTTAATAAAATTTGGTATATAATTTAATTCGTATTTTATAAAGACTTAAGTAGAGTCTATGTATATTTTTTTCAGTTTTGCCACATTTTTTAATTAAATAATAAAAAACAAAAAAAGTCTCTTAAATTTTTACACCCCATGTGTTTATTAGGCAGTATGGACTCCCTAATAAATTGGTACAGTCACCTCAAATTGACAAGAAGTCGTCTGCGCTCGCAACTATCCTCTATATAATGATATAACTGGCGATGGACTCCCTAAACTGCACACGTATATATGATTTCACCACTACATACATATTCAAAGCACTCACACATACACAATGCGTATATCTCTTTCCCTACGACGACATAGACGCTAGCGCTACTCTAAACTCGGTGGCTTCGAGCGGAACTAACGTGGACTATAAGAATCTATAATTTATATATGAATTTATATATTGCTCATATAATTAAGAGGCGTATATATATATATACATCCATACTCCATATATATATATATATACACATATATACATGTATATATATATATATTCTTTATGTTTGCTTATAAAAATTCTATTTATTATAGTATCAACTATTTGAAATAAATAAAGTTAATTGTTTTAAATTAAATAATTAATCAATCAAAATTGTCAAATTAATTATTGATTGTCAACAATAAAATCCTCCTAACTATTAAATATTCATATATTGTTGGGCAGTGGATGGACTCCCTAATAAAATTGGTACAGTCACCACAAAATTGTTAAGGAGTTGTCCGTGCTCGCAATATCTCTCAATATACTGATATATAACTGGCGATGGACTCCCTAAACACACACGTATTCTTGAATCCACCAATCACGTGTATTCAATACACGCACACATACACAATGTGTATTTCATAGACGCTGGCGCTACTCTAAACTCGGTGGCTTCGAGCGGAACTAACGTCGGCTATGAGAATCTTATTGGAATTTATATATCGCTCATAGAATCTCATAGGAATTTATATATCGCTCATACAATTATAGAGGTGGTATATATGAGTGTATTTATGATATTATATCTCACATATAATTATATATGAGAAGTGTCTATGAAAATCCGTGGGTATCTATCCATGGATTTATATACTGGCATTTATATATGGGACCGTAGTTCATATATCGTGAATATATGTATATATATTCTCTTCATATAAAAGATTTATATATCGTGTATATATGAAGTGTAACGGGTTGCATATGCTGTTAGGGGTTTGAAATCAAGTTTATTAGAGGTGTGCTATGAGAATCTTATATATATATATATATATATATATATATATATATATATATGTGTGTGTGTGTGTGTGTTTGTGTGTATGAAATAAATCAGAAATCGTAGATTAAAAATATTTTAAGAAAATATTAAAAAGATATATATATATATATATATATATATATATAAATTAATTGAAACATATCTTTTATATTTTAATGCATTTAAATCAAAACCACTGCTCACTGAAAATAAACATGTATATATATGTATATATATATACATAATAGATAATAAAACAAATGCAATTTAGTTTAATTATTTATAAGTCCAAATAATACATGAATTCACATTAACAAGGAACTTAACATAAAAAATATTCCATTATAAAATTTAACACAAAAATATAATTCATAAATTCATCATCATTATTAATAATAATAATGAAATAAAAATAACAATCTTCAGGACATTTTCTTGTATTGTATTTCATTTATTTTTTATTTTTTTGTATATTTATATTTTTTTAAGTAAATAATTATAAAACAATGTTATAATAAATTGTTACTCTAGTTTTTTTTTATTATTTTTCTTCTTCAGTATGTAGTTATGTAAATATATATAAATTTAGCAAATTAATATTAATATCAACAGTTCATGATCATATTTTAAGCTTAATAAAATAATA